TCCCGGAATTCCCGAAATTCCCGGAATTCCCGGAATTCCCGGGGGGTTCCGGCCCAGCAGGGAACGCACGCGCCGGGATCTCATGTCCAGGATGGTGTCGCTGTACCCGACCTCCTCCAGGTACCTGATTTGGATTTTTTTTGGGGAATAAAAATGGGAAAAATTTGGGATTTGGGAAAGTTGGGAATTTCAAAATGCTGGGAGAGGAAATCCCAAAAATTGGGGAATTTTTTGGTTGATTTTTGGGAATTTTTGGGAATTTTTTGGTTGATTTTTGGGATCTTTTTCGTTGATTTTTGGGAATTTTTTTGGTTGATTTTTGGGATTTTTTGGGAATTTTTTGGTTGATTTTTGGGATTTTTTGGGGATTTTTTTGGTTGATTTTTGGGATTTCTTTGGGATTTTTTGGTTGATTTTTGGGAATTTTTTGGGATTTTTTGGTTGATTTTTGGGATTTTTTTGGGATTTTTTTGGTTGATTTTTGGCATTTTTTGGGAATTTTTTGGTTGCTTTTTGGGATTTTTGGGGATTTTTTTAGTTGATTTTTAAGAATTTTTGGGATTTTTGGGGGGAATTATTTCGTTGATTTTTGGGATTTTTTGGGATTTTTTTGGTTGATTTTTCGGATTTTTTGGGAATTTTTTGGTTGATTTTTGGGAATTTTTTGGGAATTTTTTTGGGATTTTTTGGTTGATTTTTGGGATTTTTTTGGGGATTATTTGGTTGATTTTTGGGATTTTTTGGGATTTTTTTGGTTGATTTTTGGGAATTTTTTGGGATTTTTTGGGGATTTTTTGGTTGATTTTTGGGATTTTTTTGGGAATTTTTTGGGATTTTTTGGTTGATTTTTGGGATTTTTTTGGGAATTTTTTGGTTGATTTTTGGGATTTTTTTGGTTGATTTTTAGGAATTTTTTGGATTTTTTGGGGAATTTTTTGGTTGATTTTTGGGATTTTTTTGGGATTTTTTGGGTTGATTTTTGGGATCTTTTTCGTTGATTTTTGGGAATTTTTTTGGTTGATTTTTGGGATTTTTTGGGAATTTTTTGGTTGATTTTTGGGATTTTTTTGGTTGATTTTTGGGAATTTTTTTGGTTGATTTTTGGGATTTTTTGGGAATTTTTTGGTTGATTTTTGGGATTTTTTGGGGATTTTTTTGGTTGATTTTTGGGATTTCTTTGGGATTTTTTGGTTGATTTTTGGGAATTTTTTGGGATTTTTTGGTTGATTTTTGGGATTTTTTTGGGATTTTTTTGGTTGATTTTTGGCATTTTTTGGGAATTTTTTGGTTGCTTTTTGGGATTTTTGGGGATTTTTTTAGTTGATTTTTAAGAATTTTTGGGATTTTTGGGGGGAATTATTTCGTTGATTTTTGGGATTTTTTGGGATTTTTTTGGTTGATTTTTCGGATTTTTTGGGAATTTTTTGGTTGATTTTTGGGAATTTTTTGGGAATTTTTTTGGGATTTTTTGGTTGATTTTTGGGATTTTTTTGGGGATTATTTGGTTGATTTTTGGGATTTTTTGGGATTTTTTTGGTTGATTTTTGGGAATTTTTTGGGATTTTTTGGGGATTTTTTGGTTGATTTTTGGGATTTTTTTGGGAATTTTTTGGGATTTTTTGGTTGATTTTTGGGATTTTTTTGGGAATTTTTTGGTTGATTTTTGGGATTTTTTTGGTTGATTTTTAGGAATTTTTTGGATTTTTTGGGGAATTTTTTGGTTGATTTTTGGGATTTTTTTGGGATTTTTTGGGTTGATTTTTGGGATTTTTCTTGGATTTTTTTGGGATTTTTTTGGTTGATTTTTGGGAACTTTTTGGGGAATTTTTTGGTTGATTTTTGGGAATTTTTGGGATTTTTTGGGGTGATTTTTTAGGGGGTTTTTTTGGGATTTTGGGGTGGATTTTTTGGGAATTTTTTGGGATTTTTTTGGTTGATTTCTGGGATTTTTTGGGAATTTTTTGGTTGATTTTTGGGGGATTTTGGGGCTTTTTAGAAGGAATTTTTTTATTGGTTTTGATGTTTTTTTGGGGTGTTATTTTTTTGGGATTTTGGGGTGGATTTTTATGATGATTTCAGGTGATTTTGGGGTGAGATTTTAACAAATCCCAGGATTATTTTGAATCCCTCTGGAAAAAAAGATGGGCAGCTACAAAAATCCTGAGAAAAAGGGGAAAAACCAGCAAAATTTTGTCAAAATTGTGCCTAAAAATTCTGCAAAAATGGTTCAAAAACGCTGAAATTTTGTTCAAATCAACTCCCAAAAAAACCTCAACAAAAATTGTCCAAAAAAATTCCAAAATCCCAGAAAATTTCCCAAAAAATCCAACCAAAGTGGCCTCAAAAATGCCAAAATTCTGCTAAAATGACTCCAAAAATGCCCCAAAAAATCTCCATGAATTTCACCCCCAAAAATTCCCAAATTGCCCCCAAAATGCTTTAAAAATTCCATGGAAATCATCAAAAAAATCACATTAAAATGGCCCCAAAATATTGGTAAAATGCCCCAAAAAATCCTTTATAAAGATTGTAAAAAATCCTGAAAGAATTCCATGAAAATCTCGATAAAAATTCAACCAAAATTGCTCAAAAATCACCCAAAATCTGCTCAAAAACCCCAAAAAATCCCAAAATTTACCTTTGGAAACCTCAAAAAAACATAAAAAATATAAAAAAGTTCAAAAATTGCCCAAAATCTGCTCAAAAACCCCAAAAATACCAAAATTTACCTTTGGAAACCTCAAAAAAACCATAAAAAATATAAAAAAAGCCCAAAAATCGCCCAAAATCTCCTCAAAAAACTCCAAAAAATCCCAAAATTTACCTTTGGAAACCTCTGGAAAAACATGAAAAATATAAAAAAAGCTCAAAAATCACCCAAAATCTGCTCAAAAAACCCCAAAAAATCCCAAAATTTACCTTTGGAAACCTCCAGAAAACCATAAAAAATATAAAAAAAGTTCAAAAATCACCCAAAATCTGCTCAAAAACCCCAAAAATACCAAAATTTACCTTTGGAAACCTCAAAAAAAACATAAAAAAATATAAAAAAAGTTCAAAAATCACCCAAAATCTGCCCAAAAATCACTCAAAAATCCCAAATCTTTCAGCCCAAACCCATCCAAAAATTCCAAATTCATCCAAAAATCCCAAATTCACCCCAAATTTTCCCAAAATTCCCAAAATTCCAGCACTCACTGGCGCAGGAGCTGCCTCCCCTCCTTCCAGGCTCCCTCGAGCTCCACAGGGCCGTTGGATACTGGGGGGAAAAAAAAGAGTCAAAAATCACCCCAAAAACATCCAGAAATGACCCAAAAATACCCCAAATCAACCCAAAAATAATCCCAAAAATAAACCCAAAATCAGCCCAGAAATGACCCAAAAATACCAAAAATAAACCCAAAAATAATCCCAAAAATAAACACAAAATCAGCCCAGAAATGACCCAAAAATACCCCAAATCAACCCAAAAATAATCCCAAAAATAAATACAAAATCAGCCCAGAAATGACCCAAAAATACCCCAAATCAACCCAAAAATAATCCCAAAAATGAACCCAAAATCAGCCCTGAAATGACCCAAAAATACCCCAAATCAACCCAAAAATAATCCCAAAAATAAACCCAAAATAACCCCAAAAACACCCAAAAATACCCCAAATCAACCCAAAAATCATCCCAAAAATAAACACAAAATAACCCTAAAAACACCCAAAAATAACCCAAATCAACCCAAAAATAATCCCAAAAATAAACCCAAAATCAGCCCAGAAATGACCCAAAAATACCCCAAATCAACCCAAAAATAATCCCAAAAATGAACACAAAATAACCCCAAAACCACCCAAAAATAACCTAAAATCAACTCAAAAATAACTCAAAGTTAAGTCAAAAATAACCCAAAAATGATCCCAAATCAACCCCAAAATAACCCAAAAATAAACACAAATAACCCAAAAATAAACACAAAATCAGCCCTGAAATGACCCAAAATCAACTCAAAAATAACCCTAAAAACACCCAAAAATAACCCAAAATCAACCCAAAAATAACCCAAAAACCAATCCAAAAATAACCCAAAATCAACCCAAAAATAACCCAAAATCAACCCAAAAATAACCCAAAACCAATCCAAAAATAATCCCAAAACCAACCCAAAACCAACTCCAAAATAACCCCAAAACCACCAAAAAAATAACCCAAAAAAACCCCAAAATAACCCCAAAATGACCTAAAAATAACCCAAAATCAACCCAAAAATAACCCAAAAAAAAATAACCCAAAAAAACCCCAAAATAACCCCAAAATGACCTAAAAATAACCCAAAATCAACCCAAAAATAACCCAAAAATAAACACAAAATCACCCCTGAAATGACCCAAAATCAACCCAAAAATAACCCTAAAAACACCCAAAAAAACCCTAAAAACACCCAAAAATAACCCAAAAACCAACCCAAAAATAACCCAAAATCAACCCAAAAATAATCCCAAAACCAACCCAAAATCAACTCCAAAATAACCCCAAAACCACCCAAAAAATAACCCAAAAAAACCCCAAAATGACCTAAAAATAACCCAAAATCAACCCAAAAATAACCCAAAATTACCCCAAAAATCAACCCCAAAAAAAACTGGAAAAAAAAACCCCAAAATAACCCAAAAAATCCCAAATCTCCCCCAAAAATCCAAATAATCCCCTCCAAAAAAAACCCCAAAATCCCCCCAAAAAATCCCAAATCCATAAAAAAAACCCAAAAAACCCCAAAATCGCCCCAAAAAAATCCCAAAATCCCCAAATTTTGGGGTCTCACCCGGCTCCTCCGGCCGCTTCTCCCCCGGAGCCTCCGTCCCAAACTTCAGCTTGTGGTACTTGGACCTGGGAAAATCCCAAAAATTTATGGAATTTGGGGGTTTTTTTGGGATTTGGGGTCTTGGGAGAAAATTTGGGGTTTTTAGGGATTTTTTTGGGATTTTTTTGGGAATTTTTTGGGGGTTTTTGGGGATTTTTGGGATTTTTTGGGAATTTTTTGGGGATTTTTGGGATTTTTTGGGAATTTTTTGGGGATTTTTTTGGGGATTTTTTGGGAATTTTTTGGGGATTTTTGGGATTTTTTTGGGGATTTTTGGGATTTTTTTGGGATTTTTTGGGGGTTTTTGGGATTTTTTGGGGGTTTTTTGGGGTTCTTTGGGATTTTTTTTGGGAATTTTTTGGTTGATTTTTGGGATCTTGGGAGAAAATTTGGGGTTTTTAGGGATTTTTTGGGGATTTTTTTGGGATTTTTTTGGGGGTTTTTGGTTGATTTTTGGGATTTTTTGGGAATTTTTTGGGGATTTTTGGGATTTTTTGGGAATTTTTTGGGGATTTTTGGGATTTTTGGGGATTTTTTTGGGGATTTTTTGGGAATTTTTTGGGGATTTTTGGGATTTTTTTGGGATTTTTTGGGGGTTTTTGGGATTTTTTGGGGGTTTTTTGGGGTTCTTTGGGATTTTTTTTGGGAATTTTTTGGTTGATTTTTGGGATCTTGGGAGAAAATTTGGGGTTTTTAGGGATTTTTTGGGGATTTTTTTGGGATTTTTTTGGGGGTTTTTGGTTGATTTTTGGGATTTTTTGGGAATTTTTTGGGGATTTTTGGGATTTTTTGGGAATTTTTTGGGGATTTTTGGGATTTTTGGGGATTTTTTTGGGGATTTTTTGGGAATTTTTTGGGGATTTTTGGGATTTTTTTGGGATTTTTTGGGATTTTTTGGTTGATTTTTGGGATTTTTTGGGAATTTTTTTGGGGGGTTTTTTGGTTGATTTTTGGGATTTTTTGGGGATTTTTGGGGGGGGTTTTTTGGTTGATTTTTGGGATTTTTTGGGAATTTTTTGGGGATTTTTGGGATTTTGGGGGATTTTTTTGGGGATTTTTTGGTTGATTTTTGGGGTCTTGGGAGAAAATTTGGGATTTTTAGGGATTTTTTGGCTGATTTTTGGGATTTTTTGGGAATTTTTTGGGGGTTTTTTGGTTGATTTTTGGGATTTTTGGGAATTTTTTGGGGGTTTTTTGGTTGATTTTTGGGATTTTTTGGGAATTTTTTGGTTGATTTTTGGGGTCTTGGGAGAAAATTTGGGATTTTTGGGGATTTTTTTGGGGATTTTTTGGGGATTTTTTGGGAATTTTTTGGGGATTTTTGGGATTTTTTTGGGATTTTTTTGGGGGGTTTTTGGTTGATTTTTGGGATTTTTTTGGATTTTTTGGGGGTTTTTTGGGGTTTTTTGGGATTTTTTGGGAATTTTTTGGTTGATTTTTGGGGTCTTGGGAGAAAATTTGGGATTTTTAGGGATTTTTTGGCTGATTTTT